AGCACAGATCTTCAATATGCACACTTTCAAGCACCACTTCAGCACCTACTTAAATATAGTATAAAACTATACATAATATTAGTCAGAAGCCAAAAAGGCTCATAATTTACTGTATAGATAATGGATTGGACCCCAGTGGAGTCAACAGGATTTCAGGGCATGGTGACCCCACAGCTCAGCACTTCTCAATATTTGTGTATACTCCAGATACTCTTCCCCCCCCCACAAAGGATCCATGTGCTAATTAGCCTCCCACATGACTGGAACTGGGTGTTTTTGTCATGAGTCCTAGAATCCTCCAAAAATGTATATGCAGTTGAGGTGCAGGACAACCTGGTCTGGCTCCACCTCAGGGAAAGTGGGGTCACATGCAACACACTGAGGTGGAGAGGTGAGAGAGTGATTCATTTGTCAGATATTTTAGGCTGGTGAAGAAACAGGAATCACTGGAAATGGTAAAGAAAGATGCAGCTTAGCTGTGGGAGTGAAGAAGTAAAAATGTATTCAATGTACTGGCTCACCATGAGTTGAAAAAGAGTAGGCACTGAAGGGGCTATATGCAATGGGCACTAACATGTATTTTATTCAGATGGGCTGAACTAGTCTATCCTTGTGATAGGTCTCTGTGAACGTGTTGGGTAATATCTTCGTGTTCTACCTGTACTTGTCTGCCATGACTTGGATTTAATAAGAAAAAGAAGGAGATCAGTAAGTTGTTAAAGCTCATGATCAATGAATAGCACCCAGATGTTACACGCTCAAATTATAGGTTTATTTTTCAAAGTAGAAGGTACAGTAACTTCATTGACAAAGGCAGTTGATTTGAAGATAAGGAAAACTCTGAACTGAAAGTTTTAACGATACTTTGCTAAAACTAATCTAAACAGCTAATTGCCTCATTGGCAGAATGCGGTCTCCGCTGCTTTCACTCTTCGTCCGCAGGTCGTGGTTTTTGCAGGCTAATCATCCAACCTCTTTCCAGGTGTGAAATCCTCTCCACCTGGCAGGGTCCATTCGGAGGTCACTCCTCCCGGAGTTAGCTCAAGTAACAGGGCTTCTGCTTGAGTCTCCATCAACATCTTAGCATTTTGGCTAAGATTAAACCTTTTTAGCACCAATCGGAGGGTGTCAGGGTTGGCTCTGGCCCTCCTGGTGCTGTCCTGGTATCGCAGTACCTCCAGACCTAATGCCCATTCCCTGTGGAAGGAACATCCACCTGTTTTTTTTAAGGGCCAAAAAGAAAAAAAAAAGATTCCCATCAGTAAATTTACCCCAAGTGGGTCATGTGTTTTATAGTCATGCTTAGTTTTGGCAGTATTAAATCAACTTCATTACTGGTTTCCATTACTAAGCACATCCTGCTTTTGGCAGCAGTTTAATGATGGGCAGTGTATTTAAGGAGTTTTCCTTGTATAAGATTATAAGTCAAGGGTTTTTTCTCCCATGCTGGCTGAGGGAAAAAAAACTAATCTTTTATTTGAGTTACTTTGTTAGTAACCAATCATTTACATCTAATTGTAAGACTAAACAGAATTCAAGAATCTGTTTGTGCAACAGTTTGCCAGCATTTCACCTTTTTCTCTCTTTTTTGTCTTTGTGATGGTCCTGGTGGTGTGGCTAGGACAAAATTAAATTGGCAGAAGCACAATTTTGCAAACATAGGGACTTCTGGTGTTACAGCTATGTCTCATAAATCATACTTTGTCCTAATGATGACAAACAGAGCTATGCCAGCAAAAATTAAGATGCGTAGCCTTAGTTTTGTTGACAAGCATTTACACAATTTTAAAGCAAAAATAAATAAATGCATACATACATACAAGAAGTGAAAGAAGCCAAAATATTTTTCAGGCTGACATGAGCAAAAGTAGAGATGTTTTGATTACTTTTTCTATGCCCATATACATGCCAACAGAAGTGGCATAGATATGAAAGTGATTGGCGCACCATCAATTCCTCATGCCAACATGATTTATGAAGTTTATTACCTTATTCTAAGATGAATTCTAACATAAGGAAAGGTGGCAAAATTGTGCTTTTGTCCTCTAAGTGCATCTAGGTGTTAAGTACAGGAAGTTACGAGTATCAGAATGTACTGAAAAGTAGCCTCTACCCTCCATTATGATTCATTCACTTAAAGCTTGCTACTCTTTTGGTCTCTATCACTCTCTTACTTTTCCCTCTGCCTCTTTGTTTCTCTCAGCTTCTTTCTTTATCTTCCAAGCAAGGATTACATTCAGGAAGCTGATGTCTCACTCAGCCTAATTCTATTCTCTTGGGAGACAGATGGTGTGTCTTTGTTGATCAGCTTCTTGAGTAGGGTTTGTATCAGACTCAGAAACCTGAGTCAGGCTAGATAGCCTGTGTCTTGTCTCCATCTTCCAGGATTTCCCCCATGGGCATGAGTTGTTTGCAAGTTCCTGATTCATGCAGTAGCCTCAGAAATTTATGAATGAAGAGGCAATCCCTAAGTATTTAGATTTTCCACTGGAACAAGTCATGAAAGGGGAATCAATTCTGGTATCTTTCTCTCAAAATTAGTTCTGAGCTTGAAACAGACTTATTATTTATTCATTCCTCTTGCCTTTTTTCCCCCCTTAACTTTTGCATGGAACTGAGCAGTAACTTGAACAATAAACTCTCTGGGTGAAATCCTGGCTCCCTGAAGTCATCTGCAAAATACCCATTAAGTTCAGTGGGGTCAGGTTTTTACCCTTGAACTGCTGTGTTTTTGTTTTATAGCTAAAAATTCAAGGCATATCTTCTACATTCTTATTACTGTGAAGGAACTTATGAGCTATATTAATTATATGTATAAATGATGCTTTAGCAAAATTTAAACTAGATTTTTTGTATCATCCCCTCATTAGTTAATAGCAGAGCTCAGTATGAACAGCACCACAACAACATAATTTTTCAAAGGGATTAATAAACTTACATTTCTGAATGGCAAAACAGAATTCATGCTAAACTGCAAAGAACAGAATTAGTTCCATAGAGTATTCTCTAAGCTGCTTTTAACTTAAGTTTATTGGAAGTGTGCATCTCCTCCCCCCAGCCCTTCCCACTCTTTGTAGAGTTAGTAATTAAAATAATTAAGTCTTCCTTTGGCAAATATCCTAACGACTTTCTTCTTGTTAGTGTGTCTGGTCGTACAAGTCTCATTATCACAGGGAAGCCTTTATTGGCTTTGAGGAGATTGAAACAAAACAGTTCTGTAAAGTTGAAAATAATGGATTCATTCACGACATGAATGCATTCAGCCTAAAATCGAAATGTATATATGTAAAATTGTACAAAATTGTCCTAAGTCCCAAATTTCTATGCTGTTCATGTATATCATTGAAAAGGTATTTATTGATTATTTCTAACCTTGTTTGTTGACAGTTTTCATTATAAGGCTCCATTTCCAGCTCAAAAAAAAGTGCGACTCCCCTGGGAGTCTGTGACAATGCAGTTAAGCAGAGGCTGAATAGAGTCATAGTTTCAAATAATGAGCTGTTTTGTCCATTATTACTGTCTTTTAATCCCCGTGATGTTATTATGTGTTGGAGGACAGAAAGTGCATCCAAATTATGGATGTTTTTATTTGATTTCTATGCCGCCTTTTCCAACAAGGACTCAGGGCAGTCTACAATAAAAAGCAGAATAATTTAAAAACAGGAGCGCAAGAGAACAAAATAATTTTTAAAGGAACTAGAATAAAAGCCCTTCTTCCCTAGAGTATTAAGACATATCTCATCTCCACTGAGAATGGACAATGAATGTCACACTTATTATGGCACAAGAACAATCAGGGAAAAGGCATGGTGTTGATTAAATTAGATTGTGTCACAAAAGAGGATTTCATAATATCACAACCCCAAAAAAATTAACAACACTTCCTTAGGACTAAATTAAGGGATTTAAATCTGCTTTCCCTTATATTATTGTCAACCTGAAATAGTTTCACTGAAGTCAGTAGAAACGTCAACAGAGATAAACTTACAAAGTCCATGTAATTGTTCTATCATAACTTTCTAGCACTGTCGCTTTGAATCTGTCTCTTCAAAGCAACTTTGCTAGAAAGTTATGATAGCACACTAAAAATGGGAATACCTTCTCTCTCAAAAATAACCATTGCTACTTTTGCGCCTGTACCTAAACTTAACCTTCTTTATTTACTATTGCTGTTCTTCAGTTCAACATTTTCAGGGGTGCTTTTAAGTGTGCATAACACAGAAAGCCAAGCCAACCAGTTAAATAAATATGCAAATACACAGAAAGAAATCTTAATTTAGAGTTCCTAAATTAAGTACCTCCAGGTACTGAAGTTTTTTTGGTTGTAGCCATGTTAAATAAGGACAGGTAGGCAAGGTTCTTTAAGTAGATGTAATATTTTTTATTAGACCAACTGAGTAGCTGGAAAAAATGTTCTTTGCAAGCTTTTGGGCACAAGCACACTTCTTCAGGCATAGAGAGTCTCTGCTGTTGTTCTGAGTTCTACAAGGAATGAAAGAAGCTTAAAGTGTAACAGGAGGTCAGTGAGACTGTAAATAGGTGGAAATCAGGAGAACAAAGGGTACAGAAGGGAAGTGGGGGGACAAGGGGGTAAGCCCTAAGGGTACTTGTGCCGGAAAGCTTGCAAACAACTTTCTTTCAACTACTCCGTTGGTCTAATAAAAGATCTCACATCTACCCAAAGAACCATGCCTATCCAAGTACTGAACACCTCCTACAAGAAATTAGCCATGTTAAATCCTAATGAAATGGATGAGTGTTAAGGTTCTTTGCACCTCAAGAGGAGCAAGCCTTTAATAGTATCACAGAATAACATCTTTGAAGAGAGACCATGTTAACTGCAAGGATAGAATTCTGATAGTCTTTAGGAGCTATCAATAAGCAGGGGATATCCTTCCCCCCCTCCCCCCATAATGGCCTTATTTAAATCAAATCTTCTCATAGGAAAGATTTTTTTTTAGTTCAATTTTTTAAATATTAATCAGTAAGTGTGAACTTTTTTTTCCAAGAGAATGTTGGTAAGTTTAAATAATGTGATCTCGCACGTGAATAAAGATGGTAGAACTGGCCCTGACTCAGGAATGTGCTGCTTTTCATTCTCTGAATAACTCCTGCTTTCTGATAAGACAGCTAAACATGGATATCTCAGAAATGAATACTTTTCATCTTCTCATGCCTCTGCCTATCTGTATTACATCCAGGCTAAGTGATAAAATACCACCAGAGAGGTTGATCTCCTATTTTCACCCTGACAGGAAGTTCTGAAACTATCACAAGAAAGCCTGCTTATACAAGATTTCTAGCCCAACTCTGCAGTCTTAAGAGGATCAAATAGTTTAGATAAGCTTCAGATAATCATCCAAAGTTTAGGGAGCTTATCTTTAACTCCAGGCCTTTTGAAGTTTGACCATCGCTAATACTGAGCTCGTCTTCCTTAAACAAAGTTTCTTACAAGGGAGATAAAGACTTTTTGCCTCCCATTTTCAGAGCTTCCATGTGCTTATTTCTGATCTCTAGGGGGAGGTCTCATCATAATTCCTTGAAGTTTAGCAAATTAAATTGCTTACACTCAATGTAAATATAAGGAGCATTTCCTGGTACAGCAGGTCCAAGGATATGGCAATGTTTCTCTCTCCCTTGCAACTTTGAGACATGGTTGATAGGTAACTTTATTTTTTTCTTAATATCTTGGGCAAGATAGTGCTGACACATAGTAAATTTGCAGGTGGAAAAAATGTAAAGAAAATTCAAGAATTATCATCATTTAAGTTATTCTGATGTGTCCTTTATCTATACCATTTAGATTTTTTTTTTCTTTTATCTGGTACATAAATGCACGAAAGAGCAGGAGCACTACCTACCTACCATTTTCTCCTCTGCTTCTCATTTACTTCACTGGCAGCCTACTTTCAACTTCAAATAATCTAAATTAAAACAATCATGATAAGAAATAGCTTTGTCTTCCCAGGAGGCAGCTTGGCAAGGATGTATGATTTATAAAGATGTTCCTGCTGCTTCCTTGCTGGTGAGTGGGAAGTAATGCAACTCCTCCAGCACCAGCTCAGCTCTGGTTCCTCAGCTTCTTCTTCTGCATTTGTGTGTGGAAGGAAGGAGTGATGATCCTGCAGCCTTTTCTCTCCTGTCAGCCCCCAATCACATTGTTGGGATCACTCATGTACCAACACAGGAGGATGCATGGCAATGTTAGTTTGGGTTCCAGTTGGACCTAAACAAAATCAGAGAAGTTAAAATAAAAACAAAGACAGGAAGCAGAGCATATTGAATATAAAATGGAGGAAATGTAAATATAAAAGGGAGGATATAGAGATGGTTGATCACTAAAACCTTGCATCCATATCTCATTGCTCTTTTAGAATCTGACAAACCTGACATCAAGGCATGATAATACACAGGACCTCCTTTGGGAAATGTGGTATTAGAGAATGACTTAAATTGTAACCTGCTTGTGGCAGAGACCATATACTTGTGGTTTGTCTGTGCAGTCCTTAGCATAATGTGGTATTGGTTCCTGCAATAAAATAAAAACAATTTTAATACCATTGTGGGAATGCAGTCATTTTCCTGACCAGTAGATTAGATATTCACAGTGGGATCAAACAAATGGGAATAAAAATCAAGTAAATGACATTTTACCTGCCACTGTAAATGCTTTTTTAAATACCTAAGCATCTTTACAGCCTGTTTATTTAAGTAGAAAGATTTTATTTTGGTGTGTGTTCCACTTAAAGTCCAAAATCCAAACACCACCTCTGCTGCTGTCACAAAACAGGTGAATGTTCCCAGATAGGCAGCCTTTAAAGGCACAGCTCTTTGTGTTCAAGAAAGAAAGAGCTAGATTTGGGTAATAGAAAGAGT